CAAACCCTGAACCGGTTGGGGTTGCAAGCCCTTCGCGTCTTTGGGGGGGGCAGATGTGCCGGTGAGCGGGAGTGGGCCCCTGAACTCCCGATACTGCGCCCCGAGCAGCTGACAAATGGAGGGGCCATCACTCCGCTTCCATTCCTGCCGGGGATTCGGGTTTAGGGTTTAGGGTTCAGGGTTCAGGGTTTAGGGTTTAGGGTTGGGATGCCGGCATAGACTCTTCAATTTTGGGAAGGTACCTTAAACTTTGATGGGCTTTTGGATGCGATCCAAAAGTGTAGATTCCCTCGTCACGAAGATTCACGAAGCAGTTTCTGTGTTGAGGCAAGGCTGGCTTTACGAAGCACTTACAGAGAAGCTCTGCATCGAAGCACTCGGCTGGTAGCCAGGCACCAGAAGTTGCCCTGACACCCCCTTGTAAGAAGCTGCAGGTGTCGTCCCCCCCCCCCTTGTTTTCTCAGCAATTCTTCCGCAATCTCTCTGGGCCAGAAAAAAGCGCTATCAGTTCCCAGTCCCCATCATGTCCCATCCACCTTGGGGCACTCGGAGGGTTCTGTTCATAGTTGCCTTCGTTAGCAGGTGTAATCTTCAAATATCCCTCAAGTCCTCAAGCGCAAGCAGAATGCCTCCTCAGTCATCACTTCGTCAATCTCCTTCTGCCAATCCTTGCAGCGAGAAGTCCATGAGTCAGCCGCGCTTAAATCGTTTAGCCTATGCGTCGGCCATCGAGTAAATCCGGCCAGAAAACCTAAACCCCAAACCCCAAAGCCGGCAGCTTCTGCCGTGTCATTGAGGTGATTCAGGGACTTGGTTGGAGGCTTGCCGGCTTCATCTGCTCAGCGGAAACATGCTTTTGCTAACAAGGACTTTCGAAAGGCCTCCTGGTGTGGACATAGGAGCCCCCCAACAAGCCTTCCCCCCGAGTTTTCCGAACATCCCCCCGCGTCCTCTTGCTCAGGCTTGGCAAAGGTGAAGACGGCCACCCCCAAAAAGAGCAGCAGAAGTAGCAGGTACACCTGTACCATCCTCGAGGGAGGCTTCCGACCGCCAAGTGCGACGGGGGTGCTTACTGTTGCGAGTAGGGCTCTCTTGGGGCTTGTAGGGTTTGCAGTTTACAGGTTTTTTTTCGGATTATAGGGTTGATAGGGTTATTAAGGCTTTTAGGGGTTCGTATGGTGTGTATGGTTGAGGGTACATAAAGTCTACTTTGTGACAGCCCCTTGGGTGTCCAAAAAAGGGACAATATACAATTGGGGGATCTAAGTAGGTTCTCCAGAAACTGCGTATGGTGAAGATGAGGGTTCGGGGCGCACAGTGCCGATGTGATGGTGGGCTGTGGGTTGACGACTTCTCATCTGCTCAGGAAGAGAATTTGGGGCCCAACTTACACTGTCCTACCTTCAGCAATAAAGAGGCCAGAAAGATGAGCGAGGTACTCCCTGGCAGCTACGTCAGCAAGGGGATAATAAAGTGATTGAATGAGGCTGCCAGAGCAGAGGTTCTCCTGATGAATAGGCGCAGAGTTGAGCAAGGACATGCACGTGAAGGCCAGGATCCATGGATCGGCAGAGACTTCGAAAGTAAACCTGAAACTTCAGGGTTTAGGGTTTAGGGTTGCAAACATGCAGAATCATGCAAAGCCCGTTGAAGTTTGGCAATGGCGGTGGCGACCCTATGTTGAACGCCACGAGGGCAAAGCAGCTTAACAAGCACGACCAAGGTCCCCATCAATGGAACCAGCTTCTTGGCCAAGTTCCAATAATTTCTCCCCACAGTGCCGGTCAGCCCCTTCTACTCTAAGCGGCCTCATGCTATCTATCTTTCTCGCTTCAGGGCAACTGAGGCCACTTGCCCAGCAGAGTCGAACTGGTCGGGCGCCGCCTTTCGGTTTGCAAAGTCAAGAAAGAATCCACAAATCCACAAACGCCGCACCCCCCCCCCCCCTCACACCCAACCCCGCCCCCCACCCAAACAACAAAGACTTCAGCAAAGTAGCATGACGACTGTCTCGTTGAAACGAAAGTCCCGAAACAAAGTCAAACGACAGTGTGCTGGCGAATGTTTGCCGGAGTGCATACTGTACCCTCATCATTGTTTCGCAAAGTTGTTGCTCCGTTTTTTGAACTCTTACGATCTGGCCCAGAATATGACCTTTCTGATCCCACCGATCTCGTTCAGAGGTTGAGTAGCGTGTGGATTTGATGGAGTCTGGCTACCGTACCGGGAGCTGGCGCTTGGGGTTTTTAAAGGCTTCGTCCTCAGACTTGGCAAATCCAGATACCCCTAAACACCCTACAAGTAGCAAAGACACCATTGAAGGATCCCAACAGTTCTACACCTGAAACAGGCTCTGCACCCGAGCTCGCGTATGAAGTGTGGGCTGTCCCGCCTTTGCTGCTTGGGGCGCCACGGCCAGAAGCATGGATGGAGAGGTCCACCTGTAACTCAATTGCAGTAAACAAATAGCGACAGCTCGCAGATACGGGTTCAACGCGAACTCCTGGTTGGAATTTCTGCGTAGATATATATATATATATATATATGTGTAGGTTTAAGTATTGATACTGATATCTTGTGACCAATACGGTCGATACAGCGCCACTCACGTCAACGGGTGTTGCAGTTGTAACCCTGAAGTCCAAGAATCGACGCCTGATTCTCAGAAATCCCTTCCCCTTGTAGCCAACTTTCCACAAGCCTAGCACGATCTAGCATGCAGACGCGATGAATCAACGGCATGCTGACACGCAAATCAGCAGAGCCTCAGCAGGTGTGGGCTTCGCGGCCAGGCGGGCCATGCAAAGCAGGTGGCACTCCTGTAGACGTCATGGCTGAGCGACTCAGCGGAGTTCAACAAGTGAGGGAGGGTGTCTGGCATTGGACTGTGGGGCCTTGCGGCGCAGGTTCAGACGACATTCTTATTAAGCCTCTTGTGAGTTCTTTCGTGTGTTGTGCTGGGAAGCCTGTGCACGTTCGCTCGAAGCCCTTGCTTGCAGATGCTTGCTTTTATTTGTGCGGTTGCTGCGCCAGACACTACTGATAGTTCATGTCGAGTCTGTCGTGGTATGCACAGAGGTGACATTGCAATGCCTCCACGCGTGTGGAGTCGGCACTGCCCAGCACAGATACGGAATCCCACGCGGCCACGAGAACTACTCCAGGGATGTTTGGAACCCATGAGTGAACCCAAAAGCGCGGAGAGGTAGAGGGAGAGGGAGAAGGAGAGAAAGAGAGAGAGAGAGAGACGGATAGAGAAACTGTACGAAGTAAGGAAAAGAGAAAAAGATAAAGAGAAGACAGAGAGAGAAAGAGATATAGAGAGAGAGAGAGATTAAACAAGAAAGAACCGCAGATGCGTGTTACAAGACTAAGCAAGCAGCTGGCTCAAATGTCGGTCTCTCTCTCTCTCTCTCCCGGTCTCGTCTCTTACCGCTGCATCGAGGCCTCTGAAGTTTGTGGTGAATCTAGAGGCCCCTAAGTCCTTTAAGTGCCGGGGTGTGCTATAAATGTGGTTGTGGTCGCCGGTGCTTCGTGCAGCGGGGAAAAGAACTGGAATGGCCGGACTCTCTGGATCCCACACGCTGGAGTTCTCGCTGACACGAGATCTGCAGCCGTAGGCGATCAAACCCTAAGGCCCCTAGGTCGTCCCCAGGCGGTCCAGGTGAGGTAGAGGGCCCCCGCTAGACGCAGTAGGCCAGGACGCCGCATCGTCAAAGCAAGGCGCAGATATAGGACTTGTAGGGCTAGAGTCAGTTAGGGCTCATTGAGCTGCGGGTGGCCACTTGAAGGTTCATAGCTAGAAGGTCGGCTATAAGTAGGCTATAATGGGCGGCCTTCCTTTCAACTCCTCCTACAACTACGAACATGGAAGTACAGATTCTACATTGTAAGGTCTTGCATTTCTGATTGCCGCATCTGAAACTAGACCATGTTGGGCTTGGGGCAAAATGGCCGATCGAGGTTTGGGATGCTTCATGCCTTTGCGAGAGCTGAGGAAGGCGCTGCAAGCCACTACCTCCGATGTCAGCATGAGTCCTGATGAGTGGTGTCATCTCATTTTAAGCTCAGGCCAACCTTGAACCATCTTCTGTAGATCATTGTGCAAGTGACATGCCTTTTTTGTCTGAGCCTTACAGAAGAAAATGGTGTCTGCCGATGCTCATGAGGCTTTCGCTTGAAACTCCGTCCCTCGCCTTCGACAATAGCCCTTAAAGCCCGGGCTGCAAGTTTTGCATATTGAGCTCGCGATCCTGTGAAGCCCAAGTTCTGCTGTAACGAGGACTCTCAGGGTTTCCGAAGGTTTCGGAGGCTTCCCAGAGAGCTTCAGGGTTGGCCCAACTCTGACACGCAAGCGGTATACAATGGCAAGCGTTCCCAAGGATGCAACGGGGCTGAACCAGCTGGACTAACTCAACTCAAAGATTCCCGAAACGGCCCGAAATCCACGAGCAGGTTCGGCCTTGTTTCTAGCAAGGCCGTCCGCGAGGTCAGATGCTCGCACGGAGTGGGCGGAAAGTTCCGAGAGAAAGCAGCGCCCGGAAGCCCTTGCAGCCGTCGGCTGCTCTCATTTGCTCTCTGCCTTGGCTTCGTGGCGAAGTTATAAGGCCCACAAGCCATCATCAGATCCCAAAGTTTCTATATCAGGGAACTGAACATGTGGCTTGGGGGGTGCAAAAGGGGACCCTCGTTTCTGGAAACTCCAACCACACCCTTTTATCTAACTTTTGGGACCAAAGAGCCCCGATGCGGAAAAGTGAAGGGCATGGTCTGGATGCTGCCACGCCGCCCCGTCATTTGGCACATGCCCTTGTTCAGCCCAAGCTCCTGAAAGCCATGCTTCCCAACCATACTCTCTCGCTCTCTCGCTTTCTTTTTTTATGTATTTGCTATTACTTATTTGTAAATATTTCAGCTATCTATCTTTCCTACTAAGGTGCGCAGGCGCACCGAACGTGGCTTTCCAAGGCTGTAGTCAAAGGGCTTGGCTCCCGGCCGGTCTACTTCAAGTCGTCTTGACCTGGGCACGAACTTGTTCAAGGTTGCATTGAAATAAATAAACAGTGGGTGCATGAATAACAGTCAACGCAGATTCATATATCGATATATAGATATACATAAATAAATAAAATAAAATAAATACACATATATATATATATGTATAGACTTGTATATAGCCCAAATCCCCTCCCAAAAAAAGCATTGGGACCCTTCTGTGTGTCCATGTTGGCAGCATATGGTCATTGGGACCTCCTTTCCCCTAGTGTTACTTTTCTTTCTTCTCTTCTCTCTCTCTCTCTCTCTCTCTGTCTCTCTCTCCCTGAACCTGAAGTCTCTCGACCCGACTGACGGAGAGGCTTGTAAGCGCAAGCTGGCGGCAAAGTGCTCGGCCAAAAGAGGCACGGAAGCCTAGACAAGCGCCAAAAGTCTAGCCGCCGAGGGCCAAGCTGATGCTCTTCAGGTGCGCGATGTCGTGCGAGATCTTGTGCCCCAGCTGATGCGCATCACCTGGCCATCAATTGTGGGTTGAGGAATTGTGGGTTAAAGAAGACAATCATGTAGATCCGCCTCCATGCATTCTTACAGCCTCTGCGATGTTCCGCTCTCTGCGTTCTCCGAAGAAGCCCCGCAATTTCAATGGACTTCGACCCCGCGGAATGATTCTGGCCCAAGATTCTACAACTCCACGAACCATCACTTCATGTGTCAACAGCCACAGGCTCGTAAAGCTAGGTATCCTATACAGCATCGTGGCGCTTCCTTGCTCATGGCATCGCTACATACCCAAGTACCCCAAAAGCTCGTCAGCGGAACAATGATGCTTGAGACGCCCTCTCAGCCGTAACCGTGTCTAAAGCCCTTAAGCCCTAAACCCCATAAAAAATCCCTAAACCCTAAACAATAAAGTCTGCACCAAGGTGGTGTCTCTCCTCTGCGGTCTCGATAGTTTACCATTGTGGTGGTACACCGAAACCTGTTCATCACCCTAAACCCTATAAACCTTAGACTCCTAGACCCCTAAACTGCACCATTGGTGGGGCACTTTAAAAAATGACCATGTTTGTTCCTTATTGGGCTAAGTATTCATAAAAAAATATAGATGATTCTCAACAATGACCACAGTAAACTCACCAAGAGTAAGCGGATCGAGTTGACGCGCTCCCTTTCACTTCTTCGCCACCTTGGCATGTTCGAGGGCGGCACTCCGGCGATTTGCCCTGTGCCAGCATTCGCTTGTCAAAGGTCAGGCCGTACGGTACCCGTACGGCGACACAGACCCAAGTTCTGAATGCCTTCCCGGTGGTTGTAGAGCAAGTAAGTGGGGGCTTGGTCTTTTGTTTAGGGTTTAATGTTTAGGGTTAGGGCAACTTCGGCGGCAGCTTTGGTGACGGGATGTGGACACGGAGACCAACAGATCCGCAAAAGAAGCTGGACATGCGTGGGCCACGCTGCGTGGGACGCCCCGCACAAAGGTGGGGGACAGAGCACTTTTTGACCTGGAATAACTTCCGAAACCCAGCCCTAAGCGATAACAGGTATTTCTTGTGTCCGCAGTCTCTGGCACCACCGCTCCTTCAGGCTGTTCTTTGCTTTTAATTTTCAAGGCCCTGTAAGAATCATTTCGTTTGGGTGGTCCCCCCCCCACATTAAAGCCGAAGGATCCATGTACCTATATAGTATACATACTTGGGACCCAAAGCTACTGTATGGGAACCGCCTCAAGGCCCGAGTATATATTCTACACATACAGATACAGGTACATGGCCCCTTAGGCAAAAAGAGCCAACTGGAATTAGACATCATTTCCAGTACGTTCGAATGAGGAGGCGCTGAACTTCAGGCCAGCGTTGTACATGCTAAACCCTAAACCCTAAACCCCAAACCGGGAATTCCCACACACCGTGCTCTACAACCACCTCGAAGCTCCACTCTGCACGAGACTCTGTACGTTGCAAGACTTCCCAGGTTGGCCATTTTGCCAGAGAGCCACGGACATGTCTTATGGGGGTTTAGGGTTTGGGGTTTAGGGCTTAGGGTTCAGGGTTTGGGGTTTAGGGTTTGGGGCTTAGGGCTTAGGGTTTCAAAGGAATATGCACCCCAAGTGGCCAACAGCGCACAGGAAGAACAGCAGCTGGGATCCACGTCCACAGAACCCAGGCCACCCTAAACCCTAAAATCCGGTCCCAGGGTTCGTGAAGCTGGACAGAGCGGAGACTTTTTTGGGGTGCTATAATTTCTTCGATCCCATTTCGATTCCATCTAGCCCACACCATATGCAGGGAGGTCGAAGCTGTGTCGGTGATATTGTACGCTCCCTCACTGAGGATATACATACAGTTCACATACTTCCATACTTCTCATCACACTGTTGATCCTCATAGACAGTAGTTTGAGCCACCACGCAACTTCACGGGCTTAGGTTAGGATGTCAACTTTACACAAATGAACCCCTTTAAGGCCCAAGTATATACCATGCAGGTACATGAGCCCTAGGGGCTCTTACCTAATTCAGAGGGCCCGAGCTCCATTGAGGGCCCCTCACCTTGTAAAACTTGCAGCCGTCCCTCTACGAGACATGCTGCCTGGCCATTTCATAGCCCCCCCCCGCTCCCTGCGAAACTCTGTCAAGAAAGACTGGGCTCTTGCAAAGAGACGTAAATCCGAATTGCAAAAAAAAAGTACTGAAAGTAATTACGTATACTAGATGGCGACTCAATTCAAGGTCCAAAACAAGAGCCCAGATGATTGAAAATCCATTTCCAGAGAGTTCGAAGAGCAGAGGAGTCCCTATGGAACTTCCTTAAGCTCCTGGCCAGCGCATAGATCCGAAGCCTCACGCGCATTCATTTGGTTAACAATGTGGATTTGTCGATGCGGCGTTTTTACGCACTCTTCATGTTCCTGCTCGTCCATAAGGGCTAGATTCCATGTTTTACTACGGCCCCTGGCATCGGGCAACACTAAAACCAAGAAAAATACAAAAAAAGAAAAAAAAAAAGAGAAAAGACACCAATATGGACCCTATGGACCCTACGATTGGGCTAGCTGACCATGAGCCGGAATTCCGACCAGCTGGGCCCCTCAGACAGGGGTGGAACCGTTGCGGCTAAGACCCCGCATCTCGCCAGAAAGGGCCCCTTTAGGGGGCCCTTTGATGGGAGTCCAGGGCCTTGGAACAAGCACTCCAGAAGTGTCTCTGCACCGTGGCAAGTGCTGCTGAAACCTGGGGCCCACATTCAATGTGGGGCCCAAATGTGCCCACACTTTTCTTGAAAATGAGAGCTCGAGCTCGGAAAGCGGTGAGCAGGCCGCCCGCTCCTCACTGAACAGGCCTCTGTGCCTCTGTCAAGCTGTCAGAAGTCCATTCTGTCCAAGGTACTGCGTAAAAAGAAAGGGCTGTAGGAGTTGACGACGATATGTTGTGCCTTCAGAATCTGCAGGTGGGTTGTTTGAATGCTCTGCAGGATCAAGTGGCGTACTCTGTATGGGCTGAGGGAATGGAGGGAGTGGTGGTCTAGCATTCCTGAGCAGAGATGCAACGCCGAACTTCTGCATGCATCTTCAGGCACGGCTTTCTCAGCCAGATCGATCCCTGGAACTGTGAAACCTTGAAACGTATTACAAAAGAATTGCGACCTTTGTGGGCGTGTTCCGCAATCTTCAGGTTGCCCTGGACTCATACTGCGGGGACTGCGAGTTTGCAGCGCTGAATACCGGCAGTCATATCTCGAAGGGCGACGGCTAGAGCGAATCGGGGTCTGTAAAAAGAATCTGGGCAACTTGGGTAGTTTATATTGCACCGTTTCACGGTATACAAGTCGGAAAATCCAGGTAACTATTTAGCACATGTGCTCGCCCACAAAAAGGATGTACACACAGATCTCTACATATACACATATGAGACATATATATATATATATGTGTGTGTGTGTATATATACATTACACATATATCTGTATATACATAACAATAAACATATGTATGTATATATATATATATGTGTGTGTGTGTGTGTGTGTGTGTGTGTGTGTGTGTGTGTTTTCTAGTGGGGTCCGCTGGCAACCCGGCAGGTGCAGATTTGACATGCGATGGTGAGGCCTTTGCGATTCTGATGTTTGAAGCCTGGCAACCTACAACGCCAAACGCGTGAATCCGAAGAACCTAAGAATAAATTAACATGTGTATATATATACATAGATATATATATATATATATATCTATACATATATACATAAATGTATGTATAATATGACATAAACATGATATACATATATCCTGGTATGTCTGTCTCAGCTGCTCCCTTCCCCTCCAACCCTAAATCGGAGTAATGGACTCTAGCACGTCTCTTGAACTAGGATTGTTAGGGTTTATAGGAGGGCCTAACCCCAAAGCCCTTTAAGATGCCCTCATGGTGAATCACCAGTCTCCTTCTCCCTCCTGTATCTTCTGTCAGGATGGCAGGGCCCAGGTGATATTTCCGTTCAAGCGCCTACACCCTGCACCTGCAACCCAAAACCCAAAACCCAAAACCCAAAACCCTACACCCTAAACCCTTAAACCCCAAAGTTCATGAACCCTAAACCCTTAAACCCCAAAGTTCATGAACCCTAAACCCTTAAACCCCAAAGTTCATGAACCCTAAACCCTTAAACCCCATAGTTCATGAACCCCCCCTAACCCCCCCCCCCCCCTACGTTGCAAGGCGAAGGCCAGGACCACGTGACGGCAGAAAGCTGCAGCCTCGGCAGCGGCCCTCACAGCGGGAGCTCCACCCCGCGTCACATCACAGCAGCTTGGCCCTCTCACTGTATTCCCTCTTCTCTTTTTTTTTTGGGGGGGGGTTTACGATAATGAACAGCGGGGGTAACCGATTTTTGGGGTATATGCACTTGAGGGAATTTGGGACATGCGAACCGGCCTCTTGAAAAAATGCAGTTTCGGGCTTACAAAGTCGGAATGCCGGCGTGGACAATATCTTCAAAATTCCACGAAGCCCCTCGCAGTAGATGGTCAGCTTTGATGAGACATCCACGTCGAGTGCCCTGAAGCCGTATTGTAGCATGTCTCCAGCAATAGCGGTAAACTTGATAGAACTGACCACGTACCTCAGCAACGCCGGTCTCTAATTTCATGCATCAGGCGCCCCCCTTTTTGCTTTCTGAGTCTATCACGAGTTGGGGTCATCAGAAGACGTTTTAATCGTACCCACAAGGTTTGAATGTTATTTAGTTTGACTGAGTTGGTCAGTGACCTAAGTATACAAGCTTATTCGGGGCTGATAAGAGAAACCATAGCAACTATAGCCCCGTTAACTACTGTTTCGATCCCCTCCGATCATTTGATGAGGATGTCCGCTTGTGATATGAACAGCCTTTGCCAGGGAGCAAATTACAGGGGTGCTATGAATGGAGTCTCCCATTGCGGTACCCTTTTCAAGGAGATCAACCATACCCTGAACCACAACACCTTGTCCCTTTGATTCTGAGCGACAGATATAACCTTCAAGG